GAGCAGCACACAAAACCAAGATTCTTCATGGCCCACTCAGTTGTTATATGCCTGCCTAACTTTATCAGTTGTGGGAAGGAGAAGAAGGAGGGGGGCTACTTAGCCTCCCAAGAAAGAACATTCTGCAACCTGGGAGCAGTCAGAGAAAGTGGGAGAAAGCCCTCTCTCATGTTCCCAGCAGACACAGTTGTGAAGGCAGTATGACTGAGAGGAGCCTTTCCCCACCTGAAGATGTTAGGATGAAGGGACGCTTATATGGAAGAACACCTTCCTTCATATAGCCTGGAGACAAGGTATATCAGACTTCATAGCTCATAACCATAACTTGGTCTGGAAATGGAGCTGTTATTAACAGGGCAGTTATATGATCCACGTAATTGGCCCTGGTCAGCAGCCTGGTTGCAGTATTTTGAACCAGCTGAAGTTTCTGAATTGTCTGCAAAGACAGCCACACATAGAGTGCATTACAATAATGCAAGCGATAAGTAACTATGGCAGGTGCCACTGTAGCCAAATCAGACAACTTCAGGAACAGGTGTAGCTGGCTCATCATCTTTAACTGTGCAAATGCACTCTTGTCCCCCACCAAGACCTCAGCACCCAGGCTCAGTCTAGGAGTATACTAAAGGTGTGTGCCTGAGTTGTTAGGGGGAGCATAATCCCATCTAACAAAGATTGAATCCCTATGCCCTGATCTGCTTTTTGAATTACTAGAAGAACCTCAGTTTTGTTGGATTACATTTCAGTTTGTTTGCCTTCATCCAGTCTATTATTGATGATAGACACTGGCTTAGACAGAAACAGCTTCCTTGGAGCAATGTGGAAAGAAAACACAGGGCTGAATTTCATCCAAATAACTCCAAAATATTGAACAATCTATCCCAGTGTTTTCATGTATATGTTAAACAGCAGGGAGAACAAAGCAGAACTCTAAGGGACACCATGGGCTAATGGCCAACGAGTTGAACAGGAGTACCCCAGGACCACATTCTAAGTTTTCTCCTCCAGGAAGGACCAGAGCCGCTGTAAATCAGTGCTTCCAAGTCAAATTCCATAGAGATGCCCAGAAAGATACCACAGTCAATGGTATAAAAAGCCACTGAGAGTTCCAGTAAAACCAAGAGGGACATACTTCCCCTGTCTAGTTCCTGGTTTAGATCATCCACCAAGGCGACCAATGTTGTCTTCGTCCCATGACTGGAGATGGATGTAAAGTATGGGAAAACAAAGCATAACATAAGAAGCCTAAAGTTTTGTATTTGTACCACTGAAGGCACTAGACCTTGTCAAGCAACAAGAAGGAGGAAGTGAAAGACTGTGCTGGAATTTGTATAAAGCAGGGGTAGGCAAAGTAAGGATGGACTGTAACTTCTACTATCCTTGGTTAACATAGGCAATACAGTGGTGCCCCGCTTGATGATGATAATCCGTTCTAGCAAAATCACTGTAGAGTGAAATCGTCGTCAAGAGAAAAAAAAACCATTGACATACATTGAAAACCGGTCAATGCATTCCAATGGGAGAAATACCTCACTGTCCAGTGAAGATCCTCCATAGGGTGGCCATTTTCCGGTGCCTCTCTTGCGAAGAATCCGTCCTGAACACAGCAAGAGGCATTTTGCACAGTGGGGAGCCATTTTGAAAACCTGACGATCATCTGTTTTTGATCATCGTTAAGCAAAAAATCAGTTCCTGAAGCAGGGAACTGATCGTCATCAAGCGAAAAAACCCTTTGAATCATCGTTTTGCGATCGCAATAGCAATTGCAAAAAACTGATCGCAAAGTGGATTCGTCGTCAAGCATTGCGATCGCAATAGCGATTGCAAAAAACTGATCATAAAGTGGATTCGTCATCTAGCAGGGCAATCGTCAAGTGGGGCACCACTGTACTGACAAATGCTGGATGCTACAGCCTAGTGATATCTGGATACCTGGTTAAAGATTCCCCATTGCATTGTAATTTCAGCAGCCCTTTTTAAAAACTATTCTCTTGATGGTACTGAAGATTTAATACAAGGACTGATTAAGTAATTTACGACAAGAACCGAGATTGCTCTGTCACCCAGATATTACAGGCATTCACTTTTAGATGTCTAAGACAGTATATGGGAGAGGTCTCCAAAACATCTACAGGGCAAATGATTCCTCAGTCTTGCTTTCTGAAGAAACCACTTATTAACAGCTCCCATCCCCTGTACTGTACCTTATGAAACATTAGACCATACAAAAGCTACACAATAGCCTTTTCCCTACCTCTCCAGATGTGTGATTCTGGGACTTCCTGTCCATGCCATCTCACTAGGTTCCTCTTCAGCAGCAACAGGAGGGGTAGAAGTAGCAGTGGAACCTGTTGTGTTGCCTGCTGAGAAGGCACTGTGTAGGCTCATAGGCATCTGTAAGGATTCCATGCTCCTGTGCAAACCTGAAAGCTTGGGGTACATGCGGGTTTCCTTGGGGATGCTGAAGCCACCCATGAGCTCCAGGCCCTGGGAGAAGCTAGCAGAGTTAATGTTAAGGACTGGAGCAGGGCTTGGAGTGAAGCACGATGTGAGGTGGCCACCCACATTCCCTGCAGCTGTGTGGGACTCTGGCAGTTTGCCACCATGCATCTGGTGAAGCTCACTTGAAGAAGGAAGGTCCAGGCTGTTGGAGTTCACCTTGTCCAGATTGGCCAGAGAAGGGGCTTTCACATAGCTTTTGGCAGCTGACCTGAAACGGTGCATCATAAAATTAGGACACTGCTATGAGTATAGGGTGAGAGTTTTGCACAGAAAACTTCATCATGTAGAAAACTACATCATGCATCTGACTTCAGGAATAAAAAATAATTGAAGAACTGTACAATTTTTCTTAGGATCTTTCTTTTTTTTAAAGGCACATTTCCAGTAATTCTAATTACCAATAGTTGGGTAATTGCTCAAATTCTAGTGATCAAGCATCAACCCACACACTTTTGGTGGACCTAAAAATCCAGATAAATGCAACTATATGTTAATTTTGTATTTAGAGAGCTGGTTTTCCTAAGAAATTGGCAGGACTCTGGCACTGCAACAGACACTCAATGAGATACATTCATGTTCACAAAACTCCTTCTTATCTGTTTGGGGTGTGTCACATTGATGGATTGGGTGTCCACACTCAAAAGAGCTTTATATGGGCCCACTTATAATCAGGATTTGATTATAGCTGTGTGTGTGTGTGTGTGTGTGTGTGTGTGTGTGTGTGTGTGTGTGTGTGTGTTTATAAAGATACCTTTTGGACAACAGCTCTCATGCTTTCTATCTTGAGATCCTTTCATTGTCCCAATTGATTCCAAAACAGTTAAGATTCAATATCACCCTTGCTATTATTTGTCTTCTTTTATTGATGAGTTTGAACAATTAAAAGCCTTGTGTCTACAACTATGCTTACTTAAGCAAAATATGTACAACATCTCTATACAGCCAAGCACCCCAGGCTCTGGGAGAAGTGGGCTTTAGGTATGCTACAGTAACTCAAAATAACGCAAAGTCAAAGCAGCGAGGGAACATTTAACATCCATTCACTAAAACAAAGCTTCCAACTAGCATTATAATCTTCCAATAAATAGGCAATGAATAACAAAATACCCCACAGAAGGCAGAAATAGCTCTTCTAATTTACAGGCAGGCAAGCTAGGCTGCAGACCTGCAGGAGGTCCTTTCCCCCCTTCCCCGTTCCTACCTGAGTGGTGTTGGTGGCAACTCAGCCACTTTGGCAGGAGTCTGGTGGCTGCCTTGAGCCTTCGGGGTACTTTCAGGGGAGCCAATGCTCTTGACTGAGATACAATCAGAGTCCAAGGCTACAGCTTTGGCTTTGGCCTTCTCCTTCTCTCTATCTGTTTGATTCACTGGCACTGGGGTGCTCCGGCCCGTGCCAATTTTAGAGGGTTCCTTGAGCCGTGAGACAGAGATGCTGCCTTTTGTGCTTAGGAGACTGGGATCAATGCTGCTGCTGACAGGTCGTGGCCCACTGCGCCCACTTGTCACACTCATGGAGCTGGATTTGGCTGGGCGTGGCAGGCTCCGGTACTGGATGTTGGTACGGGCTCCCGGAGCCATGAAACCAGGCTCTCCAGCATTAGAAACATCTAGGCTGGTTTTCCTGCCGTTGACGGGCTTGACAGGGATACTGGAGTTCTTCTGGATCTTGCCAAGTGTGGCTGAACCGCCAGCTTGCATCACTGTAGCAGTGCCAGTTGCAGGAGGTGGCTTCTTGTTGTAGCCAAAGGAGCCAGAAGTGGTGGTCCGTGTGAGCCCAGAAGGGGGTTTCTTAGCATCTGAAATCCGGTCGCGGCCAGCATCAGAAGAAGAGCGCTGTAGGCCAGCATTCTTCACAGACAGCTTGCTCTTGTCTGTTGCTTTTGCTTCGGGCTTGCCTGAAGGATAGCATTAAAAAGGATCCAGTCAGGAAACAACAAAGTTTGAAACCAATAAAAGTAAAGGGTATTTGTGCAATACGTTTCTTAGGTGAGCTATGAGTATTAATTCATGAGAGTGGGCAAAGGGGGAAACAAGGGGAGGTGCCCGAATAGGTATTTCCCAGGCTAGACTATATACTTATCCCAAAACATCTAACTGGTCAGTAGTACAGTGGTGCCTCGCTAGACGATGATAATCCGTTCCACTGAAATCGCTGTTTAGTGAAATCATTGTGTAGCGAAAAGCATTTCCCCATTGGAATGCATTGAAACCTGTTTAATGCGTTCCAAAGGGGAAGAATCGTTGCTGTCCAGCGAAGATCGACCATAGGAAAGCCGCTTTGCAAACTGCTGATCAGCTGTTTAAATTGCTGTCTTGCGAAACTTAGGTCCCGGAAACACCTGTTTTGTGAGCTCGTAGGGAACTGTCAAAATTGTTGTCTAGCAAAAATCGGTTTGCGAAGCAGGGACCAAACATTGTCCAGCAAAATTCCCCCATAGGAATCAGTGTTTTGCGAATCACTATAGCGATCGTAAAAAGTCAATGTCTAGCGAAAAAAACGTCATGCGGGGTAACTAGCGAGGCACCACTGTACAGTATATGTAACAGGAAGTACCAGGGGTTCCCTACCCAATGGACCTTAAGAATTCCAGCATGCAACAAGGAAGCAGAACATGCTTCTGGCATGTAATTTTTCCATCAAAGAAGAAAAGAGAAACTTCTCCTTTGCCACACTACTGTAACCAACAAGCTCTTTCCCTTTTAGCAGGAAAGGGACTCAAAATCCCACCTCCCACCTATCATATACAAGCTAGAAGACACACAATGACAACTGAGAAAGGTAGGTCTTAAGATTTTTCTGATCACTATACACAAACCTGGATTCCTCCATTTAGCAGGAGATCGGATTTGATGGCTTTATAGGACTATTCCATCTCCATTATTCTGTGAAAGTTTTGTCATTGACTCTCATCTCACTGTCTCCCAACGCATCAGGAAGTGATGAATGGTAGTAAGCACACAAAGATCTCAGGGGTGTGTATGCAGGACAAAAATAGTACATCTGCTGCTAATGAGCTCCATTGACTCAGCACAGAAGATAATCTCCCAATAGGCAGCAATGGCAGCCTCATATATCACTCACGCCTTTGATTTGACAGAGCAGCTGTACTACCAATTTTCATTTTAAATTAAATAATGTGTTCTAACATGGGGCTGGAGAAGCTTTGGCCTTCCAGATGTTTCTGGATTCTAATTTCCATCATACTCTAACGGCATGGGCAATAAGAGGTATTTTATGTTCATTAACATTTAGAGAGCTCCAGCTTTCCCATCTTTAGGCTAGTATGCCTCAGCCAGTTGCAACTGCTGAATTAGAAAAATCTTCCAAATACTGTACAGGATGACCAAATATTTTACTGAGATGCAGCCCTAGGATGCAGCAAACTCATTCCTAGTTCTCTCATTGCGTAGAGTTGGCCATGTACCTTCTGCTTGCTTCTCATTATCTAGACAGCCCTACCAACAGTAGGATTCTACTACCCATTCCAAACTCACCTGCCACTTTGAGAGTCTGGGCTGTGTGGGTAATGGGGGAAGTCACTGCCACAGGAGGTGTCTTGCCCTTTTTTAAGGAACCTGGGGGGCCCAAACTGACAGGCTTTTTCAGCTCCCCGCCTTTGGCAGGAGCCTCCTCACAGTTTTCAGAGCGCTCCCGGCGCCATTTGGAGGAACTGTGCTCCATTTTCAGACTCCCGCTGTCATAGTCCATCTTCTTCTGAGCTTTCTCTTCTGGCTCGCTGTACCAGTTTAGCCCACTTTCTGCCAATGAGCGCTTCTCGGAGTCTGTGCGCAACTGTGGGGCAGATAGCAAAGAGGATACTATAAGTTTGGCACTTCAGTCTGATCCCCACATACACTTCTCAAACTCCCAAGCTGCAGGCAGCAAAAGACAGCTCGTTCATCGAAGCTCAGTGTTTGTGGTCCTGATTGACCACAACTCTTCAGCATTTCAGACAGAAGTCCCTCCCACCATTTGCTCTATACACCTTCTTAAAGTAAATATATATTTGAATGCACCTACAAGGAAATGCTTTATTGACCAGAACCCTTTTGGTTATTTATCCTGGCATTAAGTGCAACGATACAAATCATAGCAACAAATTGTGGTTAGTTAATGAGTGCTCATTATCTCACATCAAGTCATGCAACTGGCATGCAATGAGGAATACAAACAGACTTTGAGTCTCCTAAGTGTCAGTCCAGTCTTCGAACCAACACGTGTACTCTACCATAGAGATACAGTCTTTACCTTGTCACAGATTTAAAGGCTGCTGTGGTATACACTAGTTTTGCAAAGATTAAAAAAAATCTGTCAGTCATTTTCAAAGAATTTTTTTTCTTGTGCAACAAATAGTCCTGAGTTCAGTGTACCATTTGAGTTACAGCTTCTTCTGTTGTAATCTAAAGTCAGAACGGCTGTATAGCTCAGTGGTTTAAGGATCTGGCTGTGGAGTCAGAGGTTGGGAATGTGATTCCCAACTACATGTCTCCTTGACAGGAGCTCGACTCAATGATCCATAGTTCTGCAGTTCTAAGATTATGATGAATTTATAACTGGCAGCAGTAGCCCCTGTTTTCTTGAGAACAATCTAAATAGTATTTATACCCTTTCTTGTTTTACAGTGATCAACACATTACTTTATAGTTCTCCAAGTATGACCCTTTGTGCACACCTGCAATATAAAAATTCAAGAAGCACAGAAATTTGTTGAATGAAGCATAAAACCCAATAATCTTCCATCCTAGAAAGAGGCAGCACTGGACATCATGCAGTTTGTTCCTTTGGTCTCAGACCTGTTGAAACACAGACACAGACATCCACAGACACACACACATATACAGAGAGAAGGTTTTTTTGTGGGCATCATGAATTTTTGGCCTGCTTACCGCTATGGCAGAGTTTCTGCGGGAAGCTGTAGGCGTAGAAGGTAGAGAATTGAGGGAGGAGCTGGCATTGAATTCTTCCGAGCTGAGATTATCTGAGGCATCACTGAGGCCACTACTGATGGAGCTGCTCTCATCCCAGCTGAAACACAGAAGAGGCAGGGATAGTTGGCAAAAATGATCACACAGACACTATTGTGCAAAACAGATTCTGGTATTCCTGCCCAAACAGTCCACTGAGGGAAGCCAAGTGTTATGAGTTGGAAATATTATTTGATGGAGGGAATCGGTGTTTCTCTTTATGCCCCAAAATATAAAACAAAATTAGCAGTAAAATTAAACCACTGCATGATACAAATGTGACTAAAATCCAGTCAGTGCAAGTCAAAGCTTGAGCATTAATTAAATCTAAAGACATACTTTAATGACAATCTAAATGTGTGTGGTCTAGATTATTTTAGCATACAGTCACTTTTCTTGGCGCTCTTTTATTTTTTTATTGCCAGGATGGTCAAAAATGGCCCAACAACAGATTTTTTTCCCTTACTTTCAGAGCATGCTTCTAAATGGTAGGGATGTTTTACTGTAGTATTCCACCTGTATAATACTTAATCCTAGCTGCTAACCTTGGTCATGAGATAAAAGATCAATGGTCAATAGAATATCAGGCTATTTTCCTCTAAATTAAATGAACAGAGCAACTGCTACTTCTATCTTCCTAAATACTAGCACAGATTGAAAGGATGCAGAAAATACCACCAAAAAAACAGTCGGCACATTTTGCTAAGTGCTCAAAACACAGAAGCTGTGTGTGGGTTAAGTCTTAGCCACATCTCTGAAAACACAGAGCAGGAAGCAAGCATGACAGCCAAAGTTGTAAATGGCCAGAACCTGGAACAACCCAGAGAGAGAATCAAGGACAGGATAAGGAACTCTTTGCCAATTCTCTCACATGGGACAAGAGCTCAGGAACACCATGGTCAGAAAGAAGCTTCCTTCCTACATGGAGAATTTGGGAGGAATTGGTTTCTGGAGTAAGGAACAGGAAACATGAATAAATAAAATAAAATAAAGGCTTCATTGATTTCTTCTGACACTTTGCACATCAGTCTACAAGAAGACAAGTGCAGATTGTTATTTTTTAGAAGTAACAGAGTTTGTTTTTAAAAGCCCTGGATATATCTGAACATTCTCTAGGTCCTGTATAAAAAGGGGGCTGTATAAAACAAAGCTAGCCACACATGGGATCACATTTAGCAAGCCAGCATAGAAGTCAAACCATATGATCATTACATTAAGAGTTCATTAAGGACCATGACTATGCAAGGTTTTGTAGCACTGCACTGGATTCCTCACATCCACTCCCCTTGTACTATAGACCAAACTACTGATGATCTGGGATATTTATTACAAATATGTAGCCAAAACCTCTCATCATTTTCTCCAGTCTACATGCAGCTTTTTGGTTTGGCTAAAATGCAAGTACTAGGCAGTTAGGTTGCCAGATACCAATATTCAAGCCACCCTATATGACCATGTGAGTAAACTAGTAAAAGTCTGTTTCAGCTAAGGATATGCAATATGGAAAATGTAACGTGCATTAGGAGGAATCTTCTCTGTTCCCATGATCATTGGAGCCAATTGTAGATTCTGCCCATAACACTTTCACATGTGACACTAGAATCATGAGGACTACAAACAAGAACCCATGTCATGAATTATTATTTTTCATCAAGCACAACATTCCTCCCGCAGGGAGCAGGGACCTATTTATATGGTCCGCCCTCAAAGGCTACTGGATCCGGCTGGATTCCAGGACGTCATGAAAGGGGTCACGGCAGACCTGGCTAGCGCTCCTGTTGACGCTCTGGTTGATAGCTGGTCCACCTTCGCAACCAGAGCTATTGACCCTATCGCACCTAAACGCCTCTCTGTCGTAGAGCTCATCCAGCGCCCTGGTTTAACCAGGAGCTTCGAGCGCTGAAGCGACATAGGAGAAGGCTAGAGCATAGGTGGAGGAAGAACCCGACAAATTATAATAGGATAGCTGTCAGGGTCGCAACTACCCCTTACCTGTCTCAGGTAAAGGCTGCTTGTCAAACTTATTTCGCTAACCGGATAAGCGAAGTGTCCAACCAGCAGGCGGAGTTATTCCATATAATGCGCGACCTATCTGGAACTGGTCTGGATGATAGGCCTCCCCCTAGTTTTTCACCTGACCAGTTATGTAGCCTTTTTAAAATCTAATCTAAGTGGAGGCCATTCGACGGGACCTCTCTCCTTTTTTGAACACAGTGAGTCGAGCAGAGACGTTCAGCACTCCATCTTGCCCGGTAACCCTTGACTTCTTTCAGCCTGTCACGCCTGATTCTGTGGCCAGAGTGCTTGACCGCTGTCGAGCCACCACCTCCTCCTTGGACCCTTGCCCGGCCTGGCTAATCAAAGCAGCCAGGCCGATAACAACAAAATGGGCCACTGCAATAATAAATGGGTCTTTCCTTGAGGGCAGGTTTCCCTCTGCCCTCAAGGAGACACTCATTAGGCCCATAAGAAAGAAACCTAATTTGGCAGCGGACGAAATTGGCAATTATAGGCCCATCGCCAATATTTCTTTCATGAGCAAAGTGGCTGAGAGGGTGGTGGCTGACCAGCTTCAGGCGCATCTGGATGAAACAGATGCCCTGGATCCTTTTCAGTCGGGCTTCAGGCTATGCCACGGTACAGAGACGGCATTGGTTGCCCTGTACCATGACTTGTTGAGGGAGGCTGACAGTGGTAAAATTTCTTTGTTGGTCCTCCTCGACATCTCAGCGGCCTTCGATACCGTCGACCACAGTATCCTCCTGGGGAGGCTCTCTGAGTTGGGTATCGGTGGCTTGGCCATGGTCTGGTTCCGTTCCTTCTTGGAGGACCGCTCCCAGAGTGTATCCTACCGGCCTTTCATGCTTCCAGACCATATTTTTTCTGAAATTGGCTTATTTATTTATTTTATTTATTTATTTTATTTATATCCCGCCTATCTGGTCTTCGAAGCCAGCTGTGCAGATTTCACAGACCCACATGTGTATTTCTACTAATAATAATCATGTGCTGTCAAGTCAATTCTTGATTTTGTAGGTACAGAGTACTCAGAAGTGGTTTCTCCCATTCCCTTCTTCTGGAGGGAGGAATCCTGGGACTCTGCAGTTGGCCCAAGGCTACCCAGGCTGGCTCTTTTCCCAGCAGGCACCTTGGAGGAATCGAACACTCAACCCTCTGGCTCCACAGCCGGAGACATAAGCCACTGAGCTATCCAGCCAGCGACCTCTTCTTTAAAAAGTTCTAGAAGTTCATTTAATTCTTACGGAGCCACCCATGTACAGAGTATGTCACTCACAGATTGGAATGTTACTTTAAAAAATAATTATAACTGATTATAGTTATAATATAATATTTATAGTTATTTATTTTGATGTTGTCTTTTGTGTATGTAGATAGTGATGTTTCATTTTGGTTTTTATGTAATTATAATTTTTTAAAAAGTGTTGTTTGTTTCATTATGTTGTGAACTGCCCAGAGTGGCCTTGGTAGCAAGATGAGTGGCATAGAAGTCGAATGAATGAACGAATGAACGAACAAACAAACAAACAAACAAACAAACAAACAAACAAACAAACAAACAAACAAACAAACAAACTCCTGAGATAGATAGAATAATTACCCTGTCCTATTCCAACTCCATATTCTGGTGCCAGTTCATGTGAAAACATAAATGAGTTCTCATTAGCACCTGTGGTAACTGCAGTCAGTTACAGAATAAAATGACACAGTTTAAATGTGTATAGTTCTTCTCTTTGTATCACAGAGTACTACAAACAAACAAACAAACAAACAAACTCCTGAGATAGATAGAATAATTACCCTGTCCTATTCCAACTCCATATTCTGGTGCCAGTTCATGTGAAAACATAAATGAGTTCTCATTAGCACCTGTGGTAACTGCAGTCAGTTACAGAATAAAATGACACAGTTTAAATGTGTATAGTTCTTCTCTTTGTATCACAGAGTACTACTGGGAGCATCTGAGAACAAGGTAGAAGCCTTTGATCTACTGCCCCAATTAGTTTACACTTCCAGCACCAGCCAAGGGGAGAGAAGGAAGTGTTTCTCTAGGAAAGTGCTGAAGCAAGAGACTGGTGGATGCAAATTCATACATTACTGAATGTCTGTATTGTGGCATTTACTGTGTACCACTGCCAGTGTGAGCCTAGGATAGCTAAATCATTCTGGGAAGCAAGAGGGAATGACCCCTTGTTAGCTTACTGGGGAACTTCTGAGAATTTATTTCCTTTATCCATATTTGCAAAATATCAGGATCTTAGGGCATGAGAAATCAGCTGAGATATTGGCAGAGTGTCAGGGTGAGCTCTCTTTCCACTTCACTTGCAAAGTGTGTCCCCATATACCACAATACAACCTTCATCTTTTAACCAGGTAGGAAGGGCTTTCAACTCTTCATCCTGGTATCAGCCCCAGCCAGCATCATTTCCTTTCTAATCCTCAGCCATCCCCTATGTTTGATGACCCACCATTGCTCCCAAACAGTGCAATACCAGTCAGTCAGGAATAAAAAAAGGAAAAGGAGGAGCTGAGACTTCATTTTGCCCTCTTGTTTAACAGACAGCCTTTGTCCTGCATAAGGTGAATTCTAAGGATCAGAATGGAAGGGAAGGCTACTGGATGTTGATGCTTGTTTGGCAGGTAGGTATGACTACAGCCAAACAAAAAAAGGATCCCAGCAGCCCTGGGGAAGAGTTCCCCTGCTGTTCTTTCGTCTCCTCCAAGATCATTGCTAGCAGCTGCAGAATGCACTCAATCTACTACATGCCAGGGTCTCCAAGTGTTCGACCACTAAACAGATGGTTAGTTCTGGGAGGGTGTGTGTTTATTTTTAGAACCAAGAGGCAGGAAGAAAAAGATAAAGATTTCAAAACATTTGCAAAAATTTTTACCTATAACATACAGATGGATAGGAGTGGCATATCACAAGAAAAATCTCAAACTGATGCTCAAAATTTTTTTTTTAAATATCACATATAATGTACACAACATGCTGGGTAGAATTATAGGAATTTTAGTTCAATATATCATTTTAGCAAGGCC